ATGATGTCATGATGATGATGATGATGATGATGATGATGATGATGATGATGATGATGATGATGATGATGATGATGATGATGATGATGATGATGATGATGTCATGATGATGATGATGATGATGATGATGATGATGATGATGATGATGATGATGGTGATGATGGTGATGATGATGATGATGATGATGATGATGATGATGGTGATGATGATGTCATGATGATGATGATGATGATGATGATGATGATGATGATGATGATGATGATGATGATGATGATGATGATGATGATGATGATGATGGTGACGATGATGGCGAAAACAGCACGGATATCTTCGCTCGAAACTTTGACAGCTTATTGAAGAATACGATATCCACACTGGACCTCCACATTTGAGATATCTTTTCCAGGTAGTACAGGCACGAACCACAACAGCTTGTTGTAGAATACTGCCTACATTAGTCCCCCACGTATATGATATACAACAATCTACCTACCATCTTCCATTGTCTCTACGACAATCTCCGTCCATTTTCCAACACCAGCCAATGTATAAACTGCGAAGTTTATAAAATAATGACTATATCCAGTTAGGTTGTTCAACTCGTAGGACGACACAAACTTGTTCACAGTGACATTGAATGTTTCATTGGTTTTATTATTCACATACGAAATCAGAAATCCTTGGTATAGATTGGTAAAATTTGAGGTCCACTCCAGGATTATTTTAGATGCTTCAGGACTTGTGGCAGTAACAACTGTTGCATTGTAAGGGACTGCAAATAAAGAAAATTCGATATCAGGAAATGTTGTATTCTCTTCCAATCCACTCTGTTCAACTCCATATCATTCGATTTTATTCCATTCTATATCATTATTATCACTCTATTCTACTCTATTCCAATCTATTTCTTTTCCATTTCATTACCTTCAATTATTAGAGTTCAATTCAATTCTATTCTTTTACATTCTAATTCTATTCTATCCTATTCTATTCTTTTCTATTCTATTCCAGGTATTGTCGTCCATGCATTTATAATGAAGTATATTATACCTTTGTCAGTTTTGAGGTTCGAAATTTCCAAATCCGGGATGATATTCTTTTCCTCCAAAGTCTCAACCATTTCATAATCAGAACCATTCAAAGTAAGTCTCACGTTACACACCGGAATTGAGACATTCCCGCCTGACTCCTTCCTAGAAATATCCAAAACATTAATTGATACATTTTATGGCTACTCGGGTTGTGTTATCCTGGATTACACAATTTTAGGTCATTGTGGCCCGACATGTGATAAATGAAACCCATGGCAGGAAGACATTTTAGCTGAGATAGATTCGTATAAACAATAATATCAAGTTTATTTTAGCTACGATTAAAGATTAAAATATCTGCACGTTCTACTGATTGTCTGAAGCATACCTGCATGTATCAATGCTAAAAAACGATGTGTTTTCATGCCCAGGAAACGTGGAAGCAAACTACAATAAAGTAAAATGTATAGTCATATAGTTATCATAAATCAAAACGTTGATATACATACCTGTATCTTAAAATAAACTGAACTGAAGGTCTAGTAAGGCCGGTTATCCCTAATTGGTTCCCTTTTGTTACGGGATGAAATCTAACTTTCTTTGTGCTGGATACCTCGACAGTTCTTCACTGTTCAGAGGTCCAGCGAGGGATATCGTTTGTTCGTGAAGTGTTACTACAGGAGGGAAACCTAAACTTATTTATACTGGATGGCCCTAGTAACCTAGTTATCAGTTCTAAACTGTTCTCCCACAAAAGGAAGTATCTGGAAAACATCTGGGGTCGAAAAGGAGAGAAAACTTTGACATATGTGACTGCGGTTAAAAGCTCCTGCGCTAAGCACTGTATCTCCATACCTTAGTATAAACTTCATCCTCTAGCGATTTCCACGCATTACTCTCTTTATCCATTAGTTCATCTTCCCAGACCAGAGCGTCAAACCTGACTTTCAGTGAAGCAATCAACACAGTAGGTTCTGATAAAACGCGAGACACAAAGTTATGTATAAAAAACGTCGGATTCAATATAGGTACAATTTTACAACCTCGTGCCATGGCTACAAATCTCCTCACGAATGAAGGGCCTTTGTTTGAAACGTCGACGTGTTTTTATATTTTTCAGGTAGTTCAGACATAAGTCACGCCCAGCTTATTTTAGAATATTTGAAATATTTTTTCTGCACTTTGCTTGGTTGAAACTGAATATTGGAGTAGATGAAGAAACGAAGTGACGATGTATTTATACTTTTTATACCTAACCAGGAACGGTTGTGAAAAATGCAACACTAGCTCCTCTGACAGGAAACGACCTGCGGGCCTGCAGGGCTGGGGAGGCATTAGGAGAGATACATGCATGTTCATGATTAGAGATCATGAACTCCAGGTGAAGTGATTTTAACTATTGCTCTTCAACCCTATTTAAATATGCAGCATACTAACCTTTGTAATAATAACGATATATTGCCTCCACCTCACTTTCATCCAAACCGCGATACCAAACAGCAACATCATCAAACATCACACTCCCGCCATTGCCAAGTACAATCTTTCCTTGAGGATTTTTAACAGCGACGAGATCGGAACACACTGGCTTCACGTTAACATTTAAACCGTTCAACAGAATCTGCCAATATTTCCGGATCTGTACGAACGTGACAAAGGTCCACAGATTCGGTTCAATGTAGAAAGTATAAACACACTCTTTGTCGTCTCTTTTCCCTTTGAATACAATCTCTCTAGGACTATTTCCCTGATACATAAACAAGCCTGTATGGCTCTGAACATCATAAGAGGTTTGAAGAAACATTCGAGCTTCAATATTGGACACTTCTGTCTGTATACTTTTAAACCAGAATGAAATTGTTGAATCACTATTCAATCTAGGTTTCTGAAAGTAATAGTTTTTACTAATTAGTTCCATCCTTCCATCGCTGTTTCTAACCTCAATACTGGGGCCGTTCAGTCCAGCATTTTCATTGAGGACCCCTTCAACTAGCGCCCAGGCAGAGCGTTCTGCTTTTTCATCTATGACGTGAAGTTTAGAATCCATTGACCAATAATGTTGAGCGTCTGCATAAATGGTTTCGCTCGCAGCACCTATATGAAAATACATTATAGTTCAAGGTTTTTGGTCTAGAGGCTTTGAAGTCCGTAAGCCACGATAGGTGGTGTCTGACTTGCTTGAAAAGATTGTAAAATTTTTAATCTCAGATAGTTCAGGCGCTTGGCTTCAGTCGAGTCTATGGTGTTACGCATGGTGGTATAACTAAAAACTCCATGAAATATTCAATTGAACATAATGAAGTAAATATCGAGATTTTTGGCTCGATATAACTCACAGGATATTTGTACATGAAAATTTCGAACAGAAAATTGTATACAATTTTACACCTAAGTAATTTATTGATTTTAAAATTTATTTAATACGTAATTTATAATACTGATTTTTAAATTCATTTAATAAGTAATTTATTTATTTTTATTGTTTTCCCAACCTGTTAAACACCAAGCTGGTGGACGATGAGTTGAGTCGCAGATACATTTCCCCGTGATCTGGTCACAAACTTCAGTTGCTTTACATCTGGGTGCGCATATTTCATCTAGAAGAAAGAATTTCGCTAGACTTGAACCATCAAAATCTAATCCAGTTATCAGATTTAAATATACAGTTTATAAATGGAGAAGAATAAAAATGGTTTTCGATGTAAAGGTAACGAATTTATGTCACAAACATTTGGTGCAGACTATTAGTTTCAATATTATACCTCAAATTTAAATTGTCCAATCAGGAAGCTAGATTTGTACCACGTGAGCATGAAATTTATCATCGTATCGCGCTTACGTCATTCGTATTTGGTGCAGCAGGAAATTTCAGTCATATTCACCGGTGAATATGAGTCAAATTCACCGGTGAATACGATTCGCGTAGACCACGCGAGACAACACGCATGACAACAACATGGCCGACAAAGTATAAATAGTATTGATGAGTGATGAATAATCTGGGTAAATGACTGTAAAACCTGGGGCTTTTTCAAAATTTTGAAGTAAATTTTGAAAAATGTTGTCAATATTCCAAACGATATGTGATTCGAAAGAAAAGCGACGATACTTGCGTTAATTCGAAACTAAAACATCGTATTCACGAAGGTATGTGTCAAGTTTTTATTTCTCAACTTGGAGGCTTTTAATTTTCGGTATAATATATCATTTATAGACCCTCCGCTCGGGGGATTCGGCGAAATATTTCCCGAAGTGATGATATTTTCCCAAGGGCGAATCCCCCTCGCTCCGGGTCTATAAATGATAAAAGTATAAACAGCTATACCTTTTGTACCTTTTGGCTTGTGGAAACCACTACCTATATTTATTTTTGCAAAGTTTAAAAAGACCTACCACTGGTGACAAAACTTGGAAATAAAAAAATAAGTAGAAAAATATTGTTGCATGCAAACGTTCAAACGCTAAAAACATGCATGCAAACGTTCAAACAGCTACCTTTTGGTTGTAAAACTTCAAAATCATCAGCAGTAAACTGCTCTACTCCGGCCATCTTGTTCAAATCTGTTATGCCAAACACATTCCCAGGAACATTCTTCACTGCAGGCTCCACACTCCAGGTTATTGCAAGCTCATCGCCACCAAATGACATCCCACTCTCGGTCAGTACAGCTCTAGCGCTGCCAGAAGCCTCGTCGAATTTTGAAGATAAGGAGCCCCTTAGCGAAAACAAAAAGTTTCCATTTGGCTCTAGAAAAGAGAATCTTATCATTAGATCAAACGAAAGGGTACTTTGATGACAGTGTTCATCTTGAATGGTCTGTCCCAGTGTAGGTAGTGGCAAAAATAAGAAAGCTTCGATATAACTGCCTGAAAAATACAAGGAGAACTTCGATGTTTCAAGCGAAGGCACTTCATCGAGAAGTTAGTAGGACGAGGGACCTTCGCTCAAAACGTCGAAATTCTCCTTGGATTTACAGGTTGTTGCAACCCTATCAATCCGAGGCTTTCTTCATCTACTCCAGACGCTTGATATAACTTTTTAAACAACACTTATCTTACTTGAGCTCTTACGACCCATGTAGCCTCCAACAACCACGCGTTCCTTGCGAATGAGCAGCAATGTTGGAACATCTTCTAAACTACAGTTAAATTTTGACGTCCCTTCCTGAGTTAAATATACACAAGGTCTCCAAAATTCTGAGAATATTCCAACTGCGGCTAACAATTCTGACAGAATGCGAGTAGGTGTCGCCTGTGTTCCTAATATTGAAGAGCCTACAGGGTGAAACATGGAAAATGTTACTAGACAATAAGGAACGTAAAATCGCGATGCTAAACCAGCCTTTGCTTTAGTTTAGGTTTCTTCCTGCAGTAACAATGGCCCAATAATTAAAGAGGATCGTAAGTGGGCCTCCAATGGTCCGGGACTGATGAAGCTATCAAATAACAACAAAGATCGTTTATGTTGATTTTCACCGACCTCTTACTGGTTGATTAGGAGTTTTAGTTGTATTTTCTTCTGACACCACCACGAGACCGTCGTTCAACGATACAACAAAACTCGCATTATATTCATGAACTTCGACAACAGTGGCTGAGCGATACGTATCTGTGTTCCCAACGAGGACGACAACAAGAGCTCCAGACGAGGTTGTTTTGACATTTGCAGGAATAAAATGAAACAGAGAGCCATCATAGTCCCCACATGACATTTCACCAACGCCAAGTTTCAACACGTTCAGTTTCGAGTATTTTGTTTGATCGCCACCTGAGAACAAATTAGTGAAATCAAATCACATATAAAATCGTCAATTCACATGTGAAAATTTCATATGTGAAGTCGAATCACATGTGAAGTGTTCCAATTTCACATATGGATTTCACATGTGAAATCATATGTGAAATTTGCGTAAGGGGAAACTAAAATTAAACAGTTACCTCGGTCACAGAGGAGAAAGGTGCAGTAACCACTAACCACTGTATTGCGAGTGCTCAGTTACGGTAATACAATAATACCTTTGAGGATTATCGTTCTCCAGGACCATGTCACATCATAACAACCATGCCTTCCTAACGCCAATATATCACCCTCTTTCACTCCATTCCTCAACGCAGTAGACTCAACACACAACAAACTTGGAATATGTTGGATTGCCCCGGACGGTGTCAACCTAAAGGCCACCTCATTTGCACTACACGAAGTACTGAGCACAAGTTTTGTGCCATCAATGATGTCATTAGTAGCAGGTCGTAAACATTTTCCCTGTAGCTGTACTACGCCATTGGATAGCCACTCCAAGTCTTGGGATAGTGTAGTACACGCGGTGATAGTGAGGTGGGTTTCTGACTCAGTTGCTACTGTGTTTAAACACGAGCAGTCATGTTTTGGTGAAACCACTACAGAACAGAGAAATGGACAATGAGTTAGACTTAATTTTGTCGATCAACAGCAATAAAGTCCTCATCCCAGGATTATATTACTTATGTTCATGCTTTATTTCTTTGTTACGCACGCAATTACAACCAACTTTCCGTAACAGTTGTTACATTGTGTATATAAATACATCAATACGAACAAAACCAGTGCCTTCGTACATACTGCATACAGAGCGAAAGTCGTTTCAAAACTGGGGGGATAAGGTTGTAAAAAACTTACTTTACAATGTATTATGACGTACTTACTTGAGATTGTGGGTACAGCTTCAGGTGGGTAGGTGGAACATTGACCATCAACAGTAAAGACAATATTATCGAGAGCAATATCACTCATGTAACCATCTCCTGCCACACCTTCAAATGTTACCTGAGAAGAAACCAAAACAAATTGTAATTTGGGGGAGAACACAGGCAACCTCGTTCCCAGGGTCTTTGCTCTTGTGAAGCAAGAGCAAAGAGCCCGGGAACGAGGTTGGGACACAGGCTGGTGTGTTTGAATTCCAAGTATTCCAATCGTGCAAGACGCAGTTTTCTGGTCATCATTTCACTTGTCATGCATAAATTATTCATTGGGCTGATTACGCATTCACTCTGGGACAAGAACATTACCTCGTAAAAATCTTGCAACTTGTTGTGTTCTAGCTGAACTACTGCTGACTGCCATTTATCTCCTTGATCCCCAGCTAGTCTCCATAGCAAAGTCTGGTTTCCATCTTTCAGACCAAACACATTCAATCTTCCCATGTTTTCCCCATGCATGTGGTAAGAGAAATGAAGGCAGTTGTACTGAGCAAAGTAGGTTGTAGTGAGAACACCACTCAAGCCTTTCTCTACTGGGTAAGATGACTCCACGTACGCGAATTTCTCACTTGCTAAACAGAAAGATATATCACAAAGATTAATTAAAAACCTTTTGCACAGTCTTTGACCTCATGATGTTTATGCAAAGATAACTAGTAATGCTGTTTGCAAGTCAAGAAAATACTTCTAATTGGACCTTAATACTGGGCCAATAATAATCAAAAATGTTCTTGGCTGGACCACAGAATACTAATAGAGACACATGGGATTGAGCTGCTTGGTCAAAGTGTTCTTACCCATAGTGTAAACAGCAACTTCACACAACATCAACGGCAATGAAGTGTCCTCATTAGATATGCTGACGCTGCTCACATCAAAAGTCTGTTCACAGTGGAATGATTTGGCATATTCTCCATGAATTTCATTTAACTCATAACAATCTTCTGAATTTTGATCGTTGTAGACTGTTACATTGTACCCAACATGCTGTTTACTAAATATTACAACCTGAATAAAAAAATTATGAAATTGGTTGAAAATCAAACGAAACTCTGACTCTAACATCAATCATTTAGCTTCTCACGTGAAACGTTAATGCCCCTATGCACAAACATACCAGTTCTATTCTCCGTAGTTCGCCAAGAGTAAGGATCCACTCTGGGGGTGGATTACTTGGTTGAGAAATTGTGCATGTATCAAGTAAGCCATCTACAGCCAGTGAGTTGTTATCTGGCAATGGTATATGTGTTGCCAAAGCAAGATTAGGAGAATCTATGAAAAAACTAGACATGTCACATACATTAACGAAAACAACTTTTTTTTGTTTTGTTTTTGTTTTTTTACATTTCAATGTTCAAGCATGCGTTATAACGAAAACAAGTTGTTTAACAGTGGTCAGTGCATTTTATCACACATCATGTTGATAAAAATTTACCCCTTCTCTTAAAGCCTTCATGAGGCCCAGTGTCATTACTAGGTGTTGGTAAATCAGTCATATTCCAGGTCGTGTTACTCCATACACATTGAGATGTGTCGCCAAAACTACATGGAACTAGGAAATAACAAACAGACGAACATAAGTATAACCGTGAAAGATTGCCGGGCAAACTGCTATCATCACAGGGGAGTACAAGATGTCAGTGGTCAGTTCTGCGCATGGTTATCTTGCAGTCTGGTGATACAAACAGTTTAACTGGGTTCTATAATTTATTTGCACTCTGGAAGCACAAAACACACAAACCGTACCATCATACACCAAAGATTTAGCTTCATCTGGCAGAACGAATCGCTTCAAAACAAATAAATTTGCCATGCCAAATGTATGTGCAGCATCAATGACATTGTTAAATCCTATCATAAGATAGAGCGAACTTTCTATGAATTTTGCTTCAATAAACTGGCTTGGTTCCTTTGACTGCATCTTGAAATTCCCATTTTCATAAAACTGGATTCCCGACTTCTCACTCCAAGTGAAAGTAAGATGGGTCCATTGGTAGCTGATCCATTCCCAATATACTTCCCACAATGCACTGTCAGTCTGAACAGCGAAACGGTACTGCATCAACGTGTGCTGCCTCAGGGATATTCCTGTAGGATGATAACTGCTGTAGAACGTAGTTGTAATTACATTTGTCCGAGAACCTGCATGGAATGAAAATATATAAAATTCAATTATTAAGGGCTTAAGCGGATTTAAATTCTCGTTCTGGTTATACAATTCTATTTCAGTCACAAAACCGAAGCCAATAGTCTATATGAACAACATTATCAGTTCGTGTTCATATTTCGCTATAAGTTTATATGGAGAATTATTTGATAAGGAGAGGATGGGGGCTGAACAAAGGATGGGCTAAATAGAGGGCGGGGTCAAATAGGGGGTGGGGCTAAATAGAGGGTGGGGGCTAAATAGAGGGTGGGGGCTAAATAGAGGGTAGAGATTACATAGAGGGTGGGGGTTTACATGTTTCAGCCCTTCTAAACTGGGGGATAATCAGAAGGGGTGGGGTGGGGGCTAAAAAGAGACTGGACGCTAAAAAGAGGCTGGTGGCTAAATATAGATAATACGGACGTGAGCTTAAAACCTGAATTACATTCTACATAAACATCCTCTGGATCACTGCATAAATGAAATAAGTACCTTCGACTGCTCTGTACAACTCAATGCGGACAATTTCTGTTGGACTACTTTGTGGATACAATCTTACAAATCGAGCAACAAAAGGGTTTAAAAACAGATTCTTGATAGTCCTTGATCTGTCAGCATATCCTTCAAAAACCTACAAGGGAAATATTACAGTTGGGTGTTTGAAGCAGGTCCAACAGGGCTCAATGCTTATGTAGAGCGATAGAAATGTGTCAAAGACAAAACGAAATCATAATAAACTAAAATTTAAAATCTAAAATGGGATGCTACTCCGAGTTTCACATAATAATGATGTAAATTAAGATTCACATTTCTATAGCGAAATTTACATGTAGATAAGATCAAATGCGCTTTACATCAAGTTTGATGAGAGGACTGGGGACGAGTGTTAAAAAGTGCCCAAATTAAGAAATTAACCAAATGACTAAAAAGACCACCTGAAAATTAGTAAGTATACAAAGTTTGAAGACGTTTACATGAATACCCTTCGAATAATAAGCTTTCGAAAATTACGAAATTACTGATTAAGAGATTGTTTTTGGGACGCGCTGGTATACTTACTAATTTTGAGGTGGTCTTTTTAGTGATTTGGTTCATTTCTTAATTTGGGCACTTTTTAACACTCGTCCCCAGTCCACTCATCAACTTCGGAATGGCTAATTACGCTTACCTAACTACATACTTAGCCTAGACTATTTTATCTTTACAACAATTGTGATATTACTTTCTTAACTGTGTTTATCCTAACCCACCCTGTCAACTTTCTCTGTGGGAGGAAACCGGAGCACCCCGAGAAAACCCACGACTTTCGACAGAGCGTTGACTGACTCTTTTCACATGAGTCCGTAGCGAGAATCAAACCCACGAACTCAGAGGTGACAGGCGCTTGATGTGATGACTGCGGCAATGAAGTCCCACAACCAAGATAAAACATAACGTGAGGTCACTAAAAATTGGATATTAAACTTACTCTTGGATGGCCATTTTCCATATAGACAGCAAAAACATCAGAAGATTTCCTATAGTAGAGTTTATATGTCTTCAAAGGAACGATTACGCCAGCTACTCGTATCGCCTGGGTAGCAACATGTGTTAACATTTCGTCCTGATTCAATTCAACTTGAAGCCATTGAGGGAAGTCTGAAACGCTCGACTTCCATCCTTCTGCATTGCTATTAAAACGCGCTGTGTGTGGTCGATAAGCTCTTTTGACACTTGAAGCTGTGAAACCTTCATCAGGAATATCTCTAGATTCAATGCCAACATCTAAACGTACAGAAAAAGTATAGGTAGGAAAATAAAATAACCAGGGGCCGTTTGTTCAAAACTGGATTGGCGCTATAGGCCTATATCAAAGTGAAAAGTCAAAATGTTTTCACTATTTTAGGTATAGTTGTATTTGGTAATAAATAAACAGAATTTGAGAGAATAATTTTAGTGTGAAGTTATGACCATGCTTGAAACCTCTCATACCTTGCACTGTTTCTTGTTTAGAATAACATACTGAGTCTAAGAAGCAACAACCAAAACTTGTACACATCGCTTCTGTCACATTATCAATCATGGGCTGTGCCTCAGGGCAGGCTACTGCACCACTAGCTGTTGCTGGGCACACTTGAACTAAATAATAAAAACACACAACTTGTCAATCTCCGAGGAAGACTATTTTCGTGCGTTCATCTGGAGCTTTTCATCTCACTTTCTGATGAGATTTCAATACAGTTCTTAATTAGCACTTCCAAAACTTGTACATTTCAGTCCTGGAACATACTGTATATATTTTAAGATTTATATAATGTTGACTGGGACTTTCGGCTCCACAAAACATTCGCTATGTCCCTGATGTTAATTGTGATGTTAATTGTGATGTTGTCCATTTATACCTGTTGCATAGAGTTCAATCCTCATACATCTACTGCTAATGCCTCCGTGGCCCACAACAGTAATTTTCACATATTTTGTTTCAACTGCATTTTGTAAAGTAATATCATTTACAGTTGTCCCATCGGAATTGCCTGTCAGAACCTGTGTGGAACAGAACAAAGCAAAAAAATAGAAACCAAATTTATTTGTAAATCCTCGACACACTTTGCATAACAATAGTGTTATTCACTCCACTGATCAAGATATAGTCATTTCAGTGTTTTGAAAATCAAATTTTTCTTCATTCCATCCAGTCGCTGATTGTTTTGACTTTGGTGATATATATACAAAGTTAGTTAGGTCATTGTCTGTCAAGATGTGAGGGCCTGAAAGCCGGGCAAACTTCAAAGCAACAAAATTGAAGACCATTGTTTCATGTTGAACTGCGCCTCACCATGTACAAATTCTGTCCCAAGTTCATTAAATATTATTCATCTTGTTTGTAGGGATGGATCCAGCATAATCAGGTGGGGGGGGGGGGGGGCTCTGGTGCCGAGTTGTGTCAGTCATGTGTGCCGCCTGCCCATCAACTTGCTTCACTACTGCAAAGTCTTGCTTGACTACAGTATTTGAATTGTAATTGTTGTTCACAGTTCGCTTATCATGTTATTACTCAAATTACTGTATCTCATTTTGTCTCTAATAATTTTTTGCTTATCATGAGAAATAGCACTCTCCCTGCACCCCCTCTTGCAAGGGCTAGGGCGCGGACTCCCGCACCCCCAAGTAAATCCATCCCTGCTTGTTTCATCTCAGCTATCCCTATTGGATGGTTACTTCATTATACGAAAGCACAATGAGCTCAATCACCATGACCGTGCACAAATTAACATAAACTCCGCCAAAAACATAATACAATGACTTGTGTTTAGTTTCCAGGCCATCATATCTTGATAGACTGTGGTTTAGTTCAAGTATACCTTCTCAATGAAATCCTCTTTATAACTAGTCCAGTAAATTCCATCCATGCTGAAAGATAGTCGAAACGTTGCCACCCAAACATTACCACAACCTTGCATTGCAATTTTTTTTATCTTTGCGACGGCATTTAGTTTCACTTGTAGCCATGGAGTAGTGTCCGAGCCCACGGTCCTCCACTGTTCAGGGCTGCGGAGACGAGCATTGTGGGCGCCAAATTCGGGAGGAATTTTATAATACGAAGCTGTCATTTGGTCGTCTTTTATCACACTGGGGAACTCGATACCCACTGCTTCTGACGGCACTAGAGTCAAGGAAAATATGTGAAGAATTATATAATATTGCATTCACTCTTCAAGACAAAACCAACTCTTTTTTCAAAACATTCGAAAATAATTCGCCACACTGGAAAATTATTAACACAACATGAACTTCATGAACAATAAATAAGCCTTCTTACAATTACGCACGTTCCTTTCTTGTGAAGTGGAACAAGAGTTTATCAGAGATGGGGGGTTTTGAGGGTGTTGAGGGGAGGGTGTCATAATAACTCACCATATGCATAAAAAATCTCAATCTGATCAATTGTAAATGAGTCAGCCGAGGTGAAAAAAGATCCAGGTACGTGAGATCGCGCTGCACTGTATGTTTGTCCTAATGAACTAGAGCTTTCCGCCGATGTTATTTTCAGGTCATAATTCTTTCCAAATGTTGGTCCCAGTTCGTCTGCTGTGTACAAAGCAAACGTATTTTGATCGGTGATGACCTCAAATTTCACTGGACCAGTATTTGAAGGGTTGTAAATACTGAATAGGAATGATGAGTGGCTGGATATATGTCTTGCAGGTCCTGCGGAAAATAGCAATGCATCAAAGTTAAATGCTAGTTAATGTTTTGGATAAAAACAAAACATTCGAAACCTTTGTGGTTACTAAAAAAGCATTCAGAAATGCACTTCTGAAACAAGTTATAGGCCAACATATATGCATATAGAAGAATTTGGAATTGGTCCAAAACAGATTGAATTTTAATACCTCCCCAATGTTCATTTGAAAATCCTCCAAACACATAGTCACCAACTTTGACCAAAGTGACGGTGGCGCCCAGGTAATCACATCCTTTGTGAAACGCCGCTGCATCCAAATTAGATCCATTGTAACACAACAACCAATCACTCACGCCAGACGACGCTACATCCAACCATTTCAATAAAGTCAAATAATATGCATCTGACTCTGGTAAGATCTTTGAGTGTAGACCTAAAATAAATGACATAAATGTCAATTTTTCTTTCACCAATTATAAAGGCCAGCGCTATAGATTTCTAAGCACATGCATTACATCAAGTATTATGCTTACCTAACTACATACTTACCCTGGACTATTTTATCTTTACAATAATTATTGTGATATTACTTTCTTAACTGTGTTTATCCTAACCCACCCTATCAACTTTCCCTGTGGGAGGAAACTAGAGCACCCCGACAAAATCCACGACTTTCGGCAGAGCGTTGGAAAAAAGCATGCACGAGTGAGTTTTTCAAAGACAATCAAGAGAGTCCGAAGGACGAGTGCAATTCGACATCTTTGAAAAACTCACGAAGAACTCATGATTCCTTTGAAGGATTCCAGGCCGCTGTACTCCCTACACTGGCACTATACAGCTTACCTTTCCGCTTCAACCACAATCCAATGGTCAATCCAGTTCGGCGACAGAGCTCAGGGTCAGCCAAGCAATCATCAAGTAAGTTTGTTTTCATTATAAACTGTTCATCCTCATTAAACGTCAGTACTTTCCCAGGAGTAATCGGTGATGCATATGATTTTGCAATAAGATTATAGTCATTTGAGACATCTTTATATGCATTGCCCTCCTCATTAATCTCGCTGAATGGCCAAAAATGCCGCTCTGATGAAAATATACAATTAAAAAAATGAAATTTAAATCACTTTTAATTACTCTGTAGATCTTCGTCCTTTCAACTCGATAGGATAGAGGCCCAGTAAGCCCAATCACTTATTGGTCCGGCGTTACTACAGTACAAAAGAAAATCTCAAACAAACAGACAGGACAGGACAAGGACAGGACAAGGACAGGACCAGACCAGACCAACAAACAAACAAACAAACAAACAAACAAACAAACGAACGAACGAACGAACGAACAAACAAACAAACAAACAAACAAACAAACGAACAAACAAACAAACAAACAAACAAACAAACAAACAAACAAACAAACAAACAAACAAACAAACAAACAACAAACAACAAACAAACAAGCAAACAAACAAACAAGCAAACAAGCAAACAAGCAAAAAAGCAAACAAGCAAACAAGCAAACAAGCAAACAAGCAAACAAGCAAACAAACAAGCAAACAAGCAAACAAACAAACAAACAAGCAAGCAAACAAGCAAGCAAACAAACAAACAAACAAACAAACAAACAAACAAACAAACAAACAAACAAACAAACAAACAAACAAACAAACAAACAAACAAACAAAACAAACAAACAAACAAACAAACAAACAAACAAACAAACAAACAAACAAACAAACAAACAAACAAACAAACAAACAAACAAACAAACAAACAAACAAACAAACAAACAAACCTGGTTTAATACACGTTGTTCCAGGGGAGTATTCAACATCACCAACTATGTGATACTTTACTTCAGGCCAAGAGACAAGACTTCCCACTTCATTTCCACATTTTTTAGCCATATTTCGTACTTCCCAATGATGAAATGTCTTAAGCCAAAAATTAAATCGCGATAACTCTCCAATAAGGCCACGACCAACTACGATGCCTCCATTACTGGACACATCTTGCCCAATGAATAGCTGCTCACCAGCTGGAAATAATAATACGAGACGTTCACTGACCAAAATGATTTATTTAGACGAGCTTTTGGCCACTAGACTGTGTCTTCAAGCTTATATACGAACATATGTTACATTACGTTATGAATTAGGAATTTCAGTTATGAATGTTAATTTTATATATAGATAAAAATAAAGTAATTAGGGACCGGTCATTATTTATGGCAGGGGTGGGGGCCGAAGAGAAAGTATAATGAAGCCGGAAAAAATCATTACCCCACCTTTTTCGAAACAAAATTTCTAGCTACCCCACCGGTGGAATGCCAGAAAATGTTTTTACCCCACCCAAACCTATTTTGTTGCAATGTCAAAGGTTCAGACATAAAATATGTAATGAAACAGTTTAGTATTTTGTATGCGTATTACTCATCAAGGTACAAAATTGCCCTTGATGAGTAAGATCATCTGCTGTTAGAGAGTAAATAATAATTATTATAGGGTGCTTTGACCACAGTGGACATTATAATTAAAAGGGAATAGGATTGATTGGTAATACTTGTTTACCAATTAATATCCCTTGCCCCTTATTTCTTGTGGAGTAATTAAAGCACACAACAGTCATGCCTTTATATTATGGGTTAGCCCTACAATAGCAAGGTACTATATAAAGAATTATAGTTATCTGAAGGCTTATAGTTTGTATTCAACGCTATATTCCCTTTTCACGAGATAGTGGAATATGCTAGTCCCATGCATAAACATATATTATAAACCATATGCTTCAATATTTTAGAACACTAACCGTATTTCACCACCCTATCTCTTTCCCACTTTAAAGTTTCACTGTATATAATTTGGTTTCTTTCACATTCTTGCATTTCTTTATTAATTGAAATGCAATTTTATTTTGAAACAGTTTCACAAAATATGTGCTCACCCATGATTGCAACTATCTAAATTCCAAAATTTCCTCTGAAATTCCTTTAATATTTCCTTACTATAGACAATCACATGTATTATCACGGAATTTTAAAGGAATTCCTTAAGAATTCCCAAGGAATTCTTGAAGTTTATGAAATCAATTTAATATTTTAATTTGTAAACAATACAACGATACTAAAGTATTTGTCCCATGTGAGAATATCTGAATTTAGAAAGTTACTGTAAATTAATGAGAAAAAGTTGCTGTTATACAGTGTGAAGATAAAGATATTCATCCGAATTCCAAGTATGATTATATAAACAATTAAATTAATCTGTAAAACGGGTAAATAGATTTCTCTTATTTTATCCATGTATACATGATCTGCTAGTAAAGAAAAACAGCTAGTCGCCAAAGGCTAGAATTGAACATATTGTGAACTAGCCATTGGAATGATTCTCCAGATTCACAAGGGGCATGGGGCATATTTCATGATTTGCTACCTGAATTGTCCACATGGTTTACAAGCACATACTGGATATAAATATTAGTTATGCAGTATCAAGTGTAGATGCCCAAAAATTAAATCCTGAAAATTTAATAGACAGTACATTATACTTTTTGAGATATGTAATAAGAGGATGTTTATATGGGGGTGAGGCTGGATGCCCGGGGTTAGGGGCTACAGACTTAAGGTCACTTTTCCTGAAGCAAGATCTCGGGCTAAAGGGGCTGGATCTCGCTTAGCTATAGCTGGGCCCACTCTTTACCCATATATACACAACGTGAACTTTAGTAAGAAATAACAACAAAGGCAGGATCTTGCCAAAACTGGGCCAGCTTGGGTACCCTGGGGATGGCATGCAGTTGCACCATATAAACAGCTCCTATATATAGGCAGTATATATTTGTCTGGTAATTGGAGTCTTTGGAGATTTTGTGTGTAAATGAATATAAAAATGACCCTTTACGGGTGGGTTGAGGGGGGTGTTTCTGTCAACATTTTGGAAAGCAATAATATTTTATTAAAAAATTAGAATAATCACATATTAACTTCTGATAGTAGTATATATTGTATTGTGTGTGATTAAAGTAAGGTTATTTTTTTTTACCCCACCTCTGCATGCAAGGATTTTTTGGCCACCCCACCTAAAGCAACTATTATTTTTCAGTTACCCCACCATTTTCTCTTCGGCCCCCACCCCTGCCATAAATAATGACCGGTCCCTTAAAGAAGGCAACGGTTTTTTGTTAATTTGATGTATTGTTTCGGTAAAGGATTTGTATTGTTTTCCGCGTTTTTAGTTGTTTCCTTGTGCTATGATTCCAGTGTTTTCCTCAGTCTATAATTTCCCTCGTCATTATTTTCCTCTTTGTCAAAGTCAATTTTATGCCCGTTTTACCATGCATATGATGATTCACTGATGTGAAAATTGATTGGTGATGATATTAGGGCTGTTCGCATATTTTTACAGAAGAGTTTTAGCGCTACGGGGCAGAAGAAGTGTTCAACTCAATAGACCTTTCCCCTTTTAAGTGAAATTTTGATCTAGACTAGCCTGGACAAAAATTTCATCACAGCTTGAAAGAGCATCAGAACATTAGTAATATTCCGACGTTTCGTTGCGAAATGTTGTAAAATGCGGATAATATAGCCATGCGAAGTTTGCCGTTTTTCAGTCATTTGGTATTACGCACGAGAAATTGATAATCAGGTGATAAAACTGATGCAAAATGTTAGATTGTAATGCAAAATGACTGAAAAACGGCAAACTTCGCAGGGCTCTATGATCCGCATTTTACAACATTTCGCAACGAAACTTCGGAATATTACTAATTTTGTGATGCTCTTTGAAGCTGTAATGAAATTTTTGTCCAGGCAAGTCTAGATCAAAATGTCACTTAAAAGGGGAAAGGTCTATTCCTTTTCTTTCATTCAATTCTCCAATCCGAGATGACGTCCCAATGGCCGCGTTTTCAAGTGGTTATTTTTAAGGAAAGGTTTGTGATTGCGCTCAACATCAAAGAAAAATGTATTTGCTCACGAAACATGGAGACATAACTTTCACGTGCACCTGCGCCAAGTCTGTTGGCTTATTTTTTCGTGAATCATAACTACCTAATGTATACGTATAGCTTCCAAGAGAAATGGTGTACTCTTGTTCCCCGTCAAAAAAGAAATCAATATGATTCAAGTGATTGAAGAGACAATAATGATGCCAGTTGCCATCAATTGCTGAAGGAATGTGCTCTGTCCTAGAAGGAAAAAAACACTGTGCTCAATGATCTAGCCAGGAGATAACTAGCAAGAGACTTCAACTCCATCTCTACATGCTACTTATTTACCACTAAATACAACATATCATGAATATCCTTAATGTAATGGGAGATAGCATTTCTCCCATTTGGAATAGAGATTCGCCATATTTCAAAACGTTATTAGTCTTTATCGTTAACCTTGCTGTAAAATATATTACCGCCGTCTTGGATAGATTCATCGTCAAGAACGTGTGACGTCACAACCAGGGTAAATTTGTTTCTCAAGCAATTCTCGTGTCATTTCTTAAATCTATATTCTTACCATACTGTATATTTTAAATTAACCCATTAAGTTGTGCTGCGCCCTACGTCATTATTTTACTCTGTCTGATGCCAGAAAGGTGGAACGTGCTCAGGGCCGTCGCGAGCGGGGGGGTGTGGGGGGGTGCTCCACCCCCCCAATAATTTTCACAAGTCGGCCCCAGTCGGCAAATTTCTTCGTTACTGTTCGGCAAATTGCGAAATCGGCATTCAGCAAATTGTAAAAGTTAAGAACGAAGGCGATAAATAAAGCGATAAATAAAGCGATAAATTTTGGATTTAAAATAATGGTTTGTGTGTTCTTATGTCAAAACCATTTAAATGTATTTCTGTTTTCTAGTAAAACTATTAGTCTTTTATTTGTCGAAAATCGACGGGAGGCTGAAATGTGAAACCCACGTTTCCGGGCATGTTCTTCGCTCGACTGCTCTTATAGCGAAGGATTTTTATCAATTATGTGCGGTTCAAAACTGCCCAAAAGAAAAAAAATAAAACTTTAGTGTCTTGAATGTAATTCGGTTTTTGACGACTATAGAAACTTTATTATTTATTTCACGAGGGAAAACGTATTAATCGGCATAAAAGTTATCTAACATACGGCCCGACGATTACCGTAAGAGGCACGAGCAAACTTGCCATAAGGGAAACCAAGTGCGAGTAGCACATAAAGACGTACCAGCTAATCCGTTTGAGACTGCAAACCGCAGTCAAAGCCAAAGAGAATATTTTGAGTCGTCAGAGGCGCCGACAAGATCCTCAAGAAGACTCAACAGGCATCGATGAGAAGAAGACCAAGAGAAAGACGAGGCATGCCATAAGAATGGACTTGTCTTCTTTAGTTCTTTAGCGAAATTACTGTTAACTCTTATCAGCCTACAGTTTTGAAAGACATACCGCATACAGCGATCGGTATCATCGATTGGTTGCATATGATCATATCCGTTTTACTCGCTTTCTGACGCATAAAATTTAATTAAACTCTTGAAAAATCGGGTCGTACAAAAGCCCAGTTAACACTATCCGGCACTAAGAGTTTTAAGACTGCTCAAAATACAAAAATATTATAAATTGTCTATTCGGCGCCTGGGGATAAAAAAGGTCAAATTCATCAAAATTCGGTTTTTGGTTGTAGCCTAATGCGTTAATTTCTGAAACTGAAAGTACCATTTTCACGTACTGTTCTGTTCACACGAAAACGTATGAAAACGACGTCAGGAAGCAAAAACGTTTCAAATAGTGAAAACGATGCCAAAGATTCGTTCTCTATGTCTGAAACTTTTGGTCGTTTTGACACTTTGTTATTGTGTAAACAGAAAAGTAGAAGGCGAAAATGAAATTCCGTGTTTATATTTGGAAACGAAGACTATAAAAAACTAGTGCTTTGTCTGAAAATGTTGCGAGAAAAACGATCAATGTCAACAAGGCGCCTAAACGCTAAATTTGAAAACGGCACTGCAAAAACGCTCAAAAACGTGACCCGTGTGCACATAGTTTCAGTCTCGATTTAGGACTTATGAAAACACAGTATAAATTTATGGTAAATTTAAATTTTTTTCCAGCTTTATATGTTTAATATAAATAAATTAAAATAATACTCCTATCTGAAAACAAACGCACGAAAATAAAATAGTGCTAATCATTGAGCTGTGGTTGCAGTTATTGCAATTGTGTTTTTCGATTTTGTGACCATATATTTGTTTGTTCTTAGAATGTCGTATTTTATATATAAAGCAACCCGATTCCTTTTTAGCAACAACCCACGAACAGGCATCCATATTTCAAAACAAGAGCCATATTGGTGTCCCTCAGTTACTAGCACACCAATATGATTCTCATTACCTATACAAACTTTTCTTCTCATTACCTATACAAACTTTTGAAAAACTCGGCAAATTCAACTGGCATCACTCGGCAATTTGACCTTCGACACCCCCCCAATCCATATCCCTTCGCAACGGCCCTGAACGTGCTGCCGCTCAATGGGTTAATCAGTTATATTTCAAAAACCATTCAGAAAATACTAGCGTGTGCTGTTGCCCTTTTTGCCCTCAAAAATTAACTGGGAGTAATTGGTCTTGAATATACCAGCGTATGCAGTGATGAACAACCCTTTGTCTGCAAGTTAGTAGCACGCATGCCTGTTTGAGGTTGACACGTGACTAGTAGTACGACCAGGCTTGGAGGTAGCATGGACCAAAATAAACCTACGAGACAACACAAGCAGTGCATAGTAATCCAAACTTACCTAACATGAACGTGAAATTGAGCTATAAGTGTCCCATCCTTTTGCAGGGTGAATTTCATCATCATTCCTTGCCTGAAGTGGAGGGTAAAAACAGTGGCATAGTCTTGTGTAAATGGTGTTGTGCGAAGCCACCAACAGATTGCAAATTCCTTCATATACGCTGTGCGTGTTATGTGTATATGACCTTGCGAACCTTGCGAGAAACGTAGGTCGTAACGCCAATCTCGTTTGGGATAGCCTGAAAGAATAAGTAGGTGAGTTTAGAAAGCAAGAAGAGGCGGGCGAGAGGGGGGAGAAGGAGGGGGGGGGGGCGAGTTAGGTTGGCAATGTATGAACCACGTAGCTGCACTTCTCAGTTTTTACACTTTCTCCCTTAAATTTCATGTAATATATAGTTTAACTTATACCAATGCCTTCATGGTTGAACAATTATTGTTACAGTTTTGTGACATCGTTACTCAGCTATCATTCGAAGGCTTTCAGAAATTATTCGAGGGGGAGTGGGGGGAGGGGTTGCCCGCCATAGTGTCCGCCACTGTCAGTTACCCAGCCAACAAAAACCAAAACTTACCATGACAACAAATCACTTTTCTTTTGTAGTTCATTGTATTGTCAGTATTTCCATCTGCCGGGCTTTCTATATCGCACGAACTACCCTCACCTGGGAAATAAATATTGGAAGTATTATCTTTGGAAAAATATACATTCAATTATAAAACTTGTTTGTTAATTCAAGGCAGGTCTTATCAGAAAAGGTGCCCAATTGAGTTTATATTTAAGATTGCTCGCCATGGGGTCAACAATGTGAAGAGTGTGCCAAACGTTCGTGTTTTCTTCAAATTAAATAATAATATGATGATTTTATGAACTGAAAACTTGGTTAGCGATACGATTTGGAAACAATTTGGATTAGCTGAGAAAAATGATATTAAACATGTTTACGACCTTCATAGATTTTGGACGGCAATTCTGCCATTTTGACTTCACTGTTCTCATTGGCCGAATGACTGAAGTTCTTGTTCCAGATATATGGTTTACCCCAATACATCTATTTCATTATGATACACACCTATATTCAACCATTTGCCATAGGAGTCAGAAATCGGGGTTTTTCTAATATTGTGAAGATATGCTCCAAACGGATCACGTTGAGGGCTACATAAGACAGATGAGTAGCATAAACCTGCCCCTCTACTTTCGCAAAAGTCCTTTGCGGAGCTCCATGAAGTGTCAGCGCCAGTCCAATACATAACTGGTCGTTCCTTCTTGAACTCTAACAGAATAAACAATTAATTAGTGTATATCACCACGTACAAAATATATGAACCTTCCCCAGGCTATAATTGCACGTTTTTAAACTTTCCTCAAAATAATTAATATGGCTTTATCAAATTCCAAATTATATAAATTTTCATTCAAAATCTTCTTCCTATTTCCTACTGAATATTTTATTGTTTTCTTATTTTAATTTGTTTTCTCCTAGGCATTCTAACAGTATTGTCACATAATTGGTCAGCTAGTATTAAAGACTTTCAGAAATTATTGGGGACTGGGGAGGGGCAATTGCCACCCCCCCCCCGTCCACCCCCTAGTGTCCACCACTGACAATTGGTTCCGTTCCTCTTATCAATATGAAATAAAGAAATGCAACCCACCATGTGAAGATCTTATTTTCCATTGCCAGAACGACACTTTGCCCACGTCTTTTCCCCACCATTGCGCGCCCTGCAGCCCTCCCAGTCCAGGTTTACCAAACAGATTAGAGTGCACACACGAAGCACCAAACTTGTGCCAGTACGAGCCAATGTTTTGTCCACACAAAGAGACACCATCACGATCTTGGGTAACAAACGGTTTACCAGCGAGAAGCCGGTTTCCACTGCCAACAGGGGACGAAAAATGAAGTTTATAGTTCGCATCTTCGCGTCCTAACATAAACCATTCATAGAGCATGACAAACAATGAAGGTTGGTCGTCAGAACCGCTCAAAACGGATTGCTGGATTTGTGCCGAAGTTAAGAGATGAATCTTCTCATGGCCCAGCCAGAATTCACCAGTTAAATCACCAAAACCATTTCTAAATTGCTGGGAATATCAAAGGAACAATCTGGTCAATTTACATATTAACAGTTATTGAGGTACGGAGTTCTGTAATAGGATGGAAATATGAACATCCAACAGGCGTGGGTATAAGAGTATACAAACCTTGAAACTTTTATCATAAAAACTTAAGGCTCCACCATCTCGCTTGCCAATGTTTAGCCAGGTCCCAGTCCCTGTATCTTGATCACAATATACGCGAAAACTTGACTGGTCCTTACGAGGCCGTATTTCATATTCGCCACTGTCCCGTTTGTTACGGTAGAGATAGTCCAAACAATTTTCTGAAAGAAAGTCGGTTATTATAAGTAAAAATGCTGTGCTGAGTGGTTATATTACTACCTTAAAATACTCATTAATAATTCATAAACCTTGTGGCAAATCATGTCAGCCATAATATGTCACGTGGAGTGACTTTATATCTGATAAAACACATGTGGCATTATATAATTGTTCATCCTAATTAGCATGATTATATAATGGTTCATCCTAATTAGTATTCTTTTGTAGTCGTATTTTAAGCTATTCAAAACACTTGTTGTCGTGTTTTATCAGATATAAAACGCTCGGCTGCGCCTCGCGTTTTATATCTGATAAAACACTCCTACTCGTGTTTTAAATAGTACTTAAAAAATAAGCAGAGTTTCTGCTTATTTTTTAAGGTAGTAATATAACCACTCAGCACAGCAGTTTCACATTGGTACTATCCACACTGGTACAGACAGTTTTAGTATATTATAAGTAAACTCACTTTAACGTGGGTTTTTCCAAATGGAGTCTAAAAAGGTGAAACATCTACCTACCAGGAAAGCAGTCATCCCCTTCAATCATTTCCACACCATCAATCGTCCAAAGCTTTACTTCAGGCCAAGCAATAATATTGCCTTCCTCCTCGCCACACACAAGAGATCTTTTCTCAATAATATCAGAATCAAGTTCGTAGTCCCAAATATTAAATCGTGTAATGACACCACTAAATGAGCTGTCTGGATCAAAACGTTTCGACGTTTCCATGTATGACTGTCCAATGACTAGTGATCCACCTGGCAAAACATTGCATATTAATTAGTTCAGAGTGGTAAAACTACTGAGCTCGCTATATACCTGGAGTAAGAGATGGCAGAAACTAACGTGCAGTACCAGTCCCTTTCTTGCGCGGTCAATACAAGGCTGCTAGGAGTGTTCGGTGTAGTACTCTGACCAAGAGTCCAGTTGCACTGACCGACAACTTCATGTATAAATATGGAGAATACCAGGATTTTGTGCATCCACCAGCACTTGTGGTGTCATGCTCACCACGCTTGTCTTTGAAGCTGGGAGAGCCGGCTTCAATCCTTGGTCGGACTTCTACTCAAGCTCTTCAAATAATTGAGGAGAAAGAGCTACCTTTATATTGACATCAATAAATGGTTGGACTTTCGCGTCTTCTCGGATAAGCACAATGAATGAGAAACTCAATAAACTCACACTCACTCGGTACAACTAAATGTTGAAGAGTTCTCCCAAGACAGGAAGTTGGGGTTGAAATGATTAGTATTTTAGTAAAGTGGCAAACCTCGCCACTATTTCGTCCCAAATCAACGAGTCTTTACGTAAACACACACATTTGACATAGAACACTTACTTGGAGGAGTTGCAGGGAACGTTATGCCTGAGAATGAAGAGATAAGCTTGCCATCACGATAGACTTGAGCCGACTGTGCTAACCAGTTCCAGAAGACACATATGTGATGGTATTCATGACTGTCGACGAACAAGGCAGGAAATTGTCCTTCCCTAGAACGAAAATATGTGGTGTATCATTTTAGTGTACCGTAATTATTGTAATAAACGCCCCAGACGTTTATATAAAAGTGACTTCGACAGCGCAGTCTATCATACTCCCTACACTGAATCAAGAAAATATGTTTCTTTTCCTGGCAGCAAATCCAAGAATCAAAATTTCCTGCAGTCAAATATAAAACTTCCTGCATATGTAGATTTCAGAGAACGTATGGCACCTCACATTGTGATAAATCTCGACTCGCAAAATACTTTAGAAATTTTTAAACAATAAGTAAATTATATGGCATTCGAGTATATAAGATGACCAGTATGGATTATAACAATTTCATGCGGTCTGCAAATGTCAGCTCAACTGTGCAGTTGCCAACCTCGTGCCCAGGGTTAGCCGCGAATTGAAGCTAGCCCTGGGTACGAGGTTGTGCAGTTGGGTAATAATGGTCGGCCAGTTTTTCAATATTTACATTGATTGGTTAAGTACTGATCACGTCCCGCATGACTAATCATAATTAACGTTTGGTAACCAGTCTCAACGATCCATGCAACTGAACATTTCTTCTTCCTATGGGTATTGTTTCTGCATGTCTGGCCCCATGAACTTGGAACCATGACGTTTTGTTGCCCACACAGCGAAGAAAATGTTGTGTGTATTTTAATGAAAACTGCACATTTTATCTGATCGGTCAACATGTCTGTACAGAATAAAATTAATCGGCCATTTCGTGTTTTGCCGACCGTTATAATCCACATTGAAGTTGATTAAACTTTTCTGCAAGGTGTAAGAAAATTTCCTACAAAGATAGTTTGTTAAACATTTTCTGGCCGCGATGCTGCGGGTGAACCAGCATCGCACTGGATGTTTGAGATATGTAATGAAGTGTATTATTTCCCTTGGTAGTTCAAAACCAATGCACCTTACTATAGAATGCTACAATCCTGGCAAAAATTATCGTGGACAGCGCGTGCGTCAAACAAAAATAGATATATTTCTACATAATTAATCCGCCAGAAAATTTCTCCCCCTCCTACCCCCAACTCAATGTTGGTAAATGAAACTTTTAAAATTTGAATGCGAGAAACAACATTGAATAGGGGGCAGGGGGTGACAAATTTCACGAAAGAACGTCTCAATGTTAATATTGGCGTTAGGAAAGTTAGGTGTCCACATAATTTTTGCCAGGATTGTAGCTATGATGGACCAGTGTGTTGATCGAACGCCAAACTAAATCGCAATACCTTTTGTCATTACCAATAGTCAACCGAAACAATCCGTCTGACTTTACAGCAAACTCGACCATTTGTTGATTAGTGTCCAGACGTTGATATGAAAACACGGTCTTCCACTTGTCATGTTTCACATTCAATAACATCCACCAGCAGATGGTGGAAGTTTGCAATGGTGTGATCTTAGGGAAGCGGACATAACTTAAATTTCCATGAAACTTCAAGTCATACTTCCACGTCCGGGCTATACGCCCTAAAATGAGAAAAAGATTTTCTAAAAGCTGCATTCTATAAGCCACTAAGTATGTTTATGATCAAATGGTTTCATATATTTCTCACATGTGAAATTAAACATTTATACGTGAAACTTTATTTCACATGACTGTGGCAGGAACACTTCACACGTGAAGAGATTTTCAAATGTAAAATCATATACACCTTACCTCGCTATGTTTTTTACCGTGTATCGGGGGAACACGACCTTTTATAGATTGGCTAAGTACTAATACTCGGTTATATGATCATCGTCTATTCCTATTTTAATATGCCAAGTGCATCCCAGTGAGCTCTATACTGTATATATCTGGAGTAAGAATTTCAGTCATTCGGACTATGAGAAAAGTGAAGCCAAGAAATGCGGCCATTGACGCCAAGATCTGCGAAGGTCGTAAACAGTTTTTATACCATTTCCCCCCAGCTAATCCAGGTTGTTTCTGACGGACCGACTCCTTACTCCAGAGATATATAGAGCTCAACGGTGGATTCTTGGTTCCATGGCCTTTGATCCTCAAGTTCAAAGTCCCCTTCACACTTGCAATGGACCTTTAACCTTATAACTAAAATTTTGATCTAGACAAGTCTAGCAAAAATTTCATCACAGCTTGAAAGAGCATCACAAAATTAGTAATATTCCAAAGTTTCGTTGCGAAATGTTGTAAAATGCGGATAATATAGCCCTGCGAAATTTGCAATTTTCATTAATTTTGTATTACAAACGGGAAATTGATACCCCAACACCCGATCGGGGTATCAATTTCCAAACAGTAATACAAAATTACTGAAAAACGGCAAGCTTCGCTTACTTACTTAAAATTTTTGTAGATATGCATGTTACGTCACAACAGGGGTCACGGAATATTTCTATCTAGACAAATCATTTTGCACTCAAAACTATACTCTGTATGCCCTTGGAAATATCAAGATCACTTGAAACCTTTAAAACATCTACCAATCAATATTTGGTCAGCAACGAATACTTTTATATGGTTAATCCCTGTTGTGACGTCACCAAAACTACCGTTAATGAGTTCAAAAATTTATCCAAGATGGCGGACATCTCACTACTTCAAGTGAAAATATTTCAAGAACTAAGCGAGACATGAAGAGTCAGTAAAAGAAGTTATTAAATAGTTTAAAAAGTTCTTTCAAATGAGAAAATAAAAAATATACATAAGGATGCATACCTTCATAGATGAGAGGGCAACAGAAGAGAGCAGTTCTCTCGAAGGCAGTATTAGTCTCGCCCCATGATGGAAAACCATACAAATCGAAATGACTTTTGCAAGGCCCTGTGCCTGTAGAAATATTATTATGAAAAAGAGAGGGTTAATAATACTAACTTGCTACCAGCACTTCTATGTGAAATATTTTCAGTCTGAGGTGACAATAAATTAACAACTAGCGATAAACAAGGTTACAACCATTAAAGGCGATGAGCGACGTGATTTTACGCGATGTGATTTACGCTTTGAGCGATGTGATTTAACGCCATCGCGATAATATACCAACAATGTAATTTGATATTATTTCTCATGTTTGGAGACCAAAATTCATTTTATTTTAATAAATTAATCTAAATTGAATATTCAGTGTAGATTTGACAAACTTTTATTACATAATGAGCCATATTGAGACCTATATTATCTCCTTTTGCACAAACTTGAAAAATTCGTGAACAAAATCAAGTTTCACACCGACTAAATCACATCGCTCAGCAGGTGACGCTGTCCTTACATAAAATGGGGAATCCCCAATCGAGGCGAAGTTCTTTATCTAAAAATATATCGAGGAGGATGGGAAAGAAATCCGTTCTAAAAACAATTTCGGTAAAAAAACAATTATGGCAACCACTCTCACGTGGTTACCCCCTTCTAATAACAAAATGGGGACGAATTTAGGTTGCAAACATATGACCACCTTTGCCCTTTGGTGGCTGGAAATCTTAGTTCATAGCTTATCATTTGCCCTTTGGTGGCTGGAAATCTTAGTTCATAGCTTATCATTTGCCCTTTGGTGGCTGGAAATCTTAGTTCATAGCTTATCATTTGCCCTTTGGTGGCTGGAAATCTTAGTTCATAGCTTATTATTTGCCCTTTGGTGGATGGACGAATTTAGGTTGCAAACATATGACCATTTGCCCTTTGGTGGCTGGAAATCTTAGTTCATAGCTTATCATTTGCCCTTTGGTGGCTGGAAATCTTAGTTCATAGCTTATCATTTGCCCTTTGGTGGCTGGAAATCTTAGTTCATAGCTTATCATTTGCCCTTTGGTGGCTGGAAATCTTAGTTCATAGCTTATCATTTGCCCTTTGGTGGCTGGAAATCTTAGTTCATAGCTTATTATTTGCCCTTTGGTGGCTGGAAATCTTAGTTCATAGCTTATCATTTGCCCTTTCGTGGCTGGAAATCTTAGTTCATAGCTTATCATTTGCCCTTTGGTGGCTGGATGTCCCTCTGTCACGTCCTCGTGGTGGATTGGCTGGAAGTGGCGCAACATATTGTTTATAGATTTACAACGCTATAAAAGCGGGAGGCCTAGGGCCTCACGCCACAAAAAAGTGGTGGCTAAGAATTTAGAGAATAAAATTCAGGAAAGATGAAAGAGAACCGGTACGTGTATTAAAAAGTAGGTCAGGCAAAAATTTGGGCAATATCAAGTAGGACAATTTATGGAAATTACCCCCCCCCCCAAAAAAATAAAAACTTCTCCACCCCCACTGATAAAAACGACACGAGTTTGTTAAATTAATATATGATGCAGTGATTAGAATGTTCCATTGTCTTTTCATTGTGTTGAAAGTCGCAATATTCTCCGTGCCATCTTATCGATTTGTGACTTTATGCAAAGTGGCGTCACCATACGAACATTAAAAGAAATACTTACCAACTTGTACCCAGTCATTTTTCCTGTCTAATACTGGTGCCCACATATACGTATCATGCTGGCCATATAAAGGTTTTTTGCCATCTGGGCATATCTCTTTCAAAGAACAAAGTCTTTGTCTTTTCTTTGCACACTCGCCCATTCCATCTGTGTAAGAGGATGTCTCAGGGACTGTGTACTTGGACGCTGGCGACCGACCTTTGAAAAATATTTAAACACTTCAGGTGTAAGTACTGTTCCAGGGCACTAGGAATATGGAGAGTGCATTATGATGACTAGGAATATGGAGAGTGCATTATGATGACTAGGAATATGGAGAGTGCATTATGATGACTAGGAATATGGAGAGTGCATTATGATGACTAGGAATATGGAGAGTGCATTATGATGACTAGGAATATGGAGAGTGCATTATGATGACGAATCATTGCAAATGATGCCGTGGCAACGCTTTTTTTGCTGAGTCGTTCTTCTGTAAGGTTTCTTATTCTACAACATGTAGTAAAATGACAAGGATTATGAATAAATTAAGTTACTATTCCCGCTCTCATTTCTTTGTTTTCTGTGTCTGTAATTTAGAATATAGTAACTTCATTTATTCATTGTCATTTTACTGTTGGTCTGAAGATGTCTCGAGTTAATTCTATTATTAAAATTATTTTTGTGTATGGCTCTACTTAAAGCATTATACTGTTAGGGTGCTTTCCATTTAATGGCCTGACCCGAATGTTTGTCAAGAAAATGAACAAGCTTCAAAGTACGACCTAAATTTACCTGTATTCTCATAGTATATAATTATTAATTCACATTGTAATTTAGCTTTCAGCTACGAAACGTTTTAACAATAAAAATAAAAACTAAACTGAAATGACTTACTGACAGGACTGTCACAGCAAAATACTTCAAGACTTTTGTAATATTTGGCTATAGCCATCTCCCCCCACCAAGGAAGACTGAACATAGTATTATGAAAAGTGCAAACTGGATGACCATGGAACTGATCATCACCTGGGTACAGAAAATATGTTTAAATAACTGACTTACCGACAGGAGAACAAAACACGTCAAGACCCTTGTCAGGTCTGGCTACACCATCCCAGTTTTGGAAACCATATCTAGATGAAATAGCGCTGCAAGCTGGCATATACTCCCAATGATTATCACCTTTTTACAGAGAATATGTAATAAAGAAGAAATGTTATACAGCGACATACCAACAGTCGTATACAATCAGATCAACAAGGATCTGGAATACTTTACCAAAACTTATAACTAATAAATCTAATTCTTTATATACCTTTCAAAAATATTTACTTGACTACTACCTCTCTGCTTTACAACTTAATTATAGCATAGATGATCCTCGTTCGTGAAAAACAATTTGTTTAAAGTGTAATCAGACTCATGATCTCACTAAACCTCTTGCATGCTGTTTTTAAATGATAATTTTTTAAGAGACAATGTGAATGCTTTTGTATAGTTTAAGATAATTTGTTTGTTGTCTAATGGGATCACAGTAATTGGCCAAAAGCTGTCGTGAATACCCTGTCACAATTGTTGTAAATTGTTGTATTGTTAGATCTATAGTGCATTGCGAGTTATCTTGCATCTACGGTTTTCATGTCTGTTTTAGTCTGTTTTAATATGGTTTAACAGTTTGTTAGTCCTGGAAAACGATACATGTAAGGATAGCTCGGAATGTGTTATAGTCATTATAGTATTTAGATATGTAATTTATATTGTGACGAAGTTTATAAAATTAAAAAAAAAATTTAAAAAAAATTAAAAATATGTGTAAAAACCCTATTTAGTCGTTTAAGCGCCGCGGCGTTCTTTAGATTCTTAGGACCGAGACAAAGCGGACGCGATTCGACAACGCGACGCGATTTTCACTGACCGATAACTTTGATCCTTGGTTTACGTTTTTCAAATATTTAAAAGCGCTATAACATTTTGAGTTACTTGGTCAACATATCTTTTAAACGTTCCTTTCATTTTATTAACTTTCAGGAACTGGAAAATCGCGCCGCGTTTGCCGAATTGCGTCCGGCGTGTCTTAGTGTTTTGGATGCGGCGCTTATTTCAGGGGGGTCGACCAGCTCTGCAGTATATTGTAAAAACAGTCTGGTTTCAAAACAAATTGCGGTTGCTATAGCCCAATACTCTGAATATTATAAACATTTTCATTCCTTACGTTTCGACCATAATTTAAGTCAACTTCAGAAGAAAGATGACTTAAATTATAGTCGAAACGTAAAGGATGAAAATGTTTACAATTTTCAGAGTATCCATCGTTTTGTGTTTTAAAACGGTCTAGTTTAGGTTAGTTTGCATTCATCAACTGAAATGTATATTGAATGAAACAGTACATACCAATTTGGATCCACTCATTGTACGAATCAGAAGATGGTGTCCAAATATCGAGACCTACTTTGACACCATAAACAGGAATATTGTCCGGGCATATCTCATCTTTAGTGCATAACTGTAGACCACTCGCCTTGCATTTCTCGACCGCATCATTGTACGTATATGCGGCGACTGACATAGTCAGTTTGACGGGAAGCTTAGTTTTAGCTGCAAATCAAGAGTAAAAAGTTGTTTAATGAAATCATGGTGAATGACGAACAGAGGTTAAACCAAATTGGGGAAAGCGAGGTCAGGTCCACACGAGCCACTACTTGGAGGTGCGTTTTCTAGATAAAACCTGTATGGTATGGTATATGGTATGGTATATGGTATGGTATGGTATGGTATGGTATGGTATGGTATAGTATGG